AGGAATTATTAAGAAAGGGATAGAAAATAAGACACAGAATATCTTACTGCCCCTGTATAAAACTATGGTAAGCCCACATCTTGAATACTGTGTATAGATGTGGTCTCCTCACCTCAAAAAAGATATTTTGGCCTTGGAAAAGGTTCAGAAAAGGGCAACTAAAATGATGAGGGGTTTGGAACGGGTCCCATATGAAGAGAGTTAAAAACGACTGGGACTTTTCAGTTTAGAAAAGAGGAGACGGGGGATATGATGGAGGTATATAAAATCATGAGTGGTGGGGAGAGGGCGAATAAAGAAAAGTTATGTATTAGTCCCATAATAGAAGAACTAGAGGACACCAAATGAAGTTAATGGGTAGCAGATTTAAAACTAATAAAAGAAAATTTTTCTTCACACAGCGTGTAGTCAACCCATGGAACTCCTTGCCAGAGGAGGCTGTGAAGGCTAGGACTATAACAGAGTTTAAAAAGAAGCTAGATAATTTCATGGAGGTTAGGTCCATAAAAGGCTATTAACCAGGGGATAGAAATGGTGTTCCTGGCCTCTGTTTGTCAGAGGCAGGAGACAAATCGCTTGATCATTGTCTTCGGTCCACCCTCTCTGGGGCACCTGGTGTTGCCCACTGTCGGCAGACAGGCTACTGGGCTAGATGGACCTTTGGTCTGACCCAGTACGGCCATTCTTATGTCCTCACTGCTATGTTTAGCAAGCTAGCTGAAAATCACGTCCCAGCTGCAGTGGAAACATAGATGGATTACACTGCCTCACAGATAGACTTGGCTGTAGGATGATTATTTCTTTTCCCCCTCCCTCTGCTCTTCCCCCTACCCTCCCAAAAAACAGATAGTGTGTCAAAACATCTGTCTTCTGACTGAAAAAGTCAGAGTTTCAGTTAGGGTGTCTCTTTTTCCACAAGAGACTTATGAGTCCACCCTGAACCTCAGAAACCTTTCTGATGAAAACTATGTAAAAACTGATATGGTTTTGCAAAACATTTCAGCTTCAGTGAAGCAGCATATTTCAGTGACAGAAGGTTAAGTGAAAATCTGCCATGCAATCATAAGCAGCAGGTCACTTGGAGAGAGCTTAAGTTCAGACTTTCCAGTGTCTCCCATATCCTATTGCACACAGTCACACAATGTAAATTCTGGAAATACCCCTGATCAGTGCATTCTTATACATGTGCGCACTCGTTCTCTCTGTCAGAGATCTAACTTCATCTTTTTATTTTTCTCTTTAAAGTATTCCTCTTTTTCATTTGTTAAACGTGTTCAGTACCTAGGAGATTCTGTTCAGTGAGAAACACACACATGTGCTCTTATTCTTTTGATTACCAATCACATATTTCCCTAGTGAGAGAATTTATTTCATAGATGGAGAAAAAAATATTAAAAAGTATGATGAGTCTTGGAAATAAGCCAGAGGTTATATATATATATACAGGGAGCATCACAAGGCTGGATTGGCAAATATATTTAATTATTTAGTTCGTAATGATCCACACATGGTAGAAGTCTTGTGCAAATAGAAAATAGCTATTTAGTTAGGTCTTTTAATGTCCAATTATGCCACATGCTTTTAATTTTTTTTTTTAAGTCTTAAGATTTGGTCCAAAGCCTGTTGAACTCAATGAGAATCCTTCTTGTTGACTTTGGTGAGCTTTAGATTAGAGATGTAAAAGGTTAACCAGTTGCCTGCTAAGGATTAGGTTTACTGGAATGCTTACTTAGTAACATGTTAAACTGCATGAGGCTAGCTGGTGGAAACCAGCAGGCAGGGTCGCATGGCGGGCAGTGGGACCCCAGCTGCGGCTGCACTGTAGCATCCCCAGGCAGGAGGCACAGCAGCCCCAGACGCACCACAACCACCCTGGCAGGGACAGGTGGGACCCCAGCCCTGGTCATGCCACAGCAGCCCCAAACCCCAGCTGCGCTGTAGCAGCCTGAGACCTCCGCTCCAGCTGCATCATCATGCCTGCCCAATGTCCTAGTACAGTTCCCCACCCTGGCTGCCCTGCACCCACCAATGATTAACTGATTAAACAGTGTAATTGTAATTGTTTAACTGTTCTGGTGGATATTTATGGCTCTACTTTAGATTAAGCCCTTAATTTGTGCTTTCTCAGTCTCTCTCATGTGAGCCCCAGCCACTGTGAATTCCTCTGTATTCCTGACCTTGTCTGAGGTCTGTTACAGTAAAGCACTCAGAGGACCTGCAGGATGCTGAGCACCTATAGCTCGCTGGGAGTGAAATGGATTTGTGGCAGCTTAGCATCCCATTTTTGAGGTTCTGACCGGTGTTAATAGTTCTGCTATAGTAAACACATGGGATCTGATCCTCGAAGGTCGGGATCCAGCTTATTTGGCTGTTGGGTTTATCTAAAGTGTCACTGATCCGAATACCAATGTAGAAATATATTGGTTACTATGGTGTACTTGTGCAAGGCATTTTAATGCTTATCAGCGCACATTGTTCCTTGGCTGATACGGTGAAGTACATGGTTATGCGTCTTAGGGTTTCCATCTAATTTTTTCTTCTTACTATATCCAAATTGTATCTGCAGGCAGCTGGATATAATGTAATATAATGTACATGCCTATGAGAGAAGGGCTGTGATTGCAAGTTGAGGTCTGGTGGTGTTTTTTCTTTACAAAACAAGTTCAGTGTAGGAGCAACAGCCCTGGAAACTGAACTCTTCTGTTCATGGAAGAAGTCATCACAGAGCATATGTCCCCAGAGCACATGATCTGGAAAAAACAGCTTGAGGGGATGAGTAGTAGTTCAGTCTCTGTCTCTACTCGATGCCTTGGTTGCCTTCTGAGTCTCCCAGCAAGGTACTAATAAGTGCAATGGTGATTGGTTATGATGTCAACAGCTGGCCATTGGACTGTGGCCATCCACCTCCTGTGACCGGGGAGCCAGCAGGTAGAAACAAGCTTTGTGCATTCCATTGGCCATGCATCACATACTCCAATTAAAACTTGCTGTGCATCAGTTACCTTTAGGCTACGTCTACACTGGCATGATCTTGTGTAAGAACTCTTTTGCGGAAGAGTTCTTGTACAAAAACTCTACACTGGCATGTGTGTTTGTGCAAGAGATGTGCTTTTGCGCAAGAGCATCCATGCCAGTGTAGACACTCTCTTGCACAAGAAAGCTCTGATGGCCATTTTAACCATCGGGCTTTCTTGCGCAAGAAATTCATGTTTATACTGGCCTCTTGCGCAAGAGAGCTTATTCCTGTGCAGGAGCATCATAGTACTTGCGCAAGAAGCACTGATTTCATACATTAGAACATCAGTGTACTTGCGCAAGAACTCGTGGCCAGTGTAGACAGGCAGCAAGTTTTTGCGCAAAAGTGGCTGCTTTTGCGCAAGATCATGCCAGTGTAGACACAGCCCTAGAAAAGAGCATGTTTTTCCTTTCCTTAGAGCTAGAGCAGCATGATATGAACCTGTTTGCAGTACATTTTACCATTGCATTGTAAAGTCGTGTATTTTCATTTCATTTCTTTTAGGATCACAGCAACCAGGGATGCCATACTACACGGATCCAGGAGGGCCTGTGATGAATCCCATGGCTATGGCTTTCCATGTCCAGCCCAACTCCCCACAAGGGAATCCAGTATACCCACCTCCACCCTCTTACTGCAACGCACCACCACCCCCATATGAGCAGGTGGTAAAATCCTCCACGTAACAACTCTGCAGCTCTGTTACCTGACTTTGTAAGAAGCAGGTGCCATTGCAAAGGGACTTGGGTAGAGGGCCTCTGCCCTTCTGAACACTTGCTAATTCTCCTGCCACACGCTTACCGTTCTCATTACTTTGGAAGGATGATTGATTTTTTTTTTTTTGTGGTAGGGAGTGAATTTTCATTTTGATGTATTCAAAACGAAAACACTGTCTTTTTAATGCTTTTAATGGCAACCTATATTTAAATCCAATATGTTTTCCCTTTATTTATTGTTTCAAAGGTGTATGTTAACATATTGTGGCAAAATACGGTAGCAGATTTATGCAACCACAAAGTGATGTACTCTCTCCGAAAATCCAGACAAACGTGGTACTCTGCTAGAGTAGAAACGAAAGGCGCGATCTGGAGGAAAGAGTCAGGGAAAGATATTTATGTGAAGTCTGACCACCCGCCTGTGGTTTTCTAGGAAAGCTCTGTTCTGAGACACAGAATGGGGACAGTCAGTGTATTATGGAAGCCAGTGAGTGAGAAAGTTGAGTGGCACTCACTCATGGCAGTGAGTTCTGCTTGGAACAAATCCCACTTGAGAGCTTCACTTCTACAAAAGGGGTGGATCCAAGAAATCATGGCTGTGCAGGACTGCAGTGATTCCACATGCTCCTGGACTCTGAACTTGCCACCTTAATCCTGGCTCCACTTCTCCTTTTGAAACTTTCTGAAAAGTGGTGGGGGTTTTTTTTTGTTTTTTGGGGGAGGGGTTTGCCAAGGATAAGATTGTAAAATATAATTGATGATCTAAATATTAGATTGGCCTATCTATGGCAGGGAAGATGTTATCAGCTCACATAGCAACCCTTGTAGAGAAACTTCTTAGAAATATGTCAGTGCACAGAAGGGTTTTTTTGCCCTAAAGTTAAAATAGAAAAAAAAGAGAACTTAGGCCCAGATCCTCAATGTATTTAGGCACTGAACTTGCATCTGGGCTTTGGGCTCCCATCTTAGTCCCTTTGGAACCACTGGGAGTTTTGTCCTTGACTTCACTGGGTGATGACTAGGTCCTTGTTCCATACAGCATGTTAGCTCGCTGGTTTTGGTTATGGTCTTACAGCTACAGAGTGGAGTACAAAAGGGTGTTGTGTTCTCCAATCAAGAGATTTGAAAATTCTCTCTTAACAATGCTTTAAGCACAATAACTTTCTATGACATCTGTTTAAGAGTTGCTTCTCAGTCTAATGCATGGACATTTTGACCATGCAGCTATCATGCTGAAAATGTCCTCCTCGTTTTTATTTGCCTCATATTTCTGGTAGGTTCTTTGAGTGGCAGTGGCCACTCCCTAACTTCAAACAAACAAAACCTTTTCTCCTGAAATTCTTATGGATGGTTGGTTTTACAGACATTTTTGCACTTATTTTGATTATTTCCAATTAAAGTATGGTGCTTTTACTGCTGCTCGAACTGAAGTTACACCAGTTCAATGTATCCCATTGAATGAATGTTGGGGCCCATGTTTAACTGAACACACAATCCCAAGATATCTGGGCTACGTCTACACTGCAGGCTTTTTGCATAAGAACTGTTTTGCACAAGAGTTCTTGCGGAAAAGTACTTGAGCTACATACTGCCATGTGCTTTTGCGCAAGAGCGTCCATGGCAGTGGGATTGCTCTCTTGCACAAGAAAGCTCTGATGGCCATTTTAGCCCTAGAGGTTTCTTGCTATAGAAACCCCTGTTGCCCGTCCACACTGCCTCCTTGCGCAAGAGCTCTTGTGCAAGAGAACTTATTCCTCGTAGGGAGAGGAATAACTTGCACAAGAAGCGCTCTGCTCCAACGCCTTACTGTAAATTTACTCGCGTAAAAATGCACGTGCAGTGTAGACGCGCCACAAATTTTATGTCTGCAGCGTAGACATAGCCCTGCATTGCACAGGGGAAATTGAGGGCCTTATTTGGCCTTTCTCACTAGTGATGTTGTGTCTGAAAGCCTACTTCTCAGCCCAGGTTGAGCTTGCCGGGTCTAACAATCAAAACTAAACATCTTTTTGTTTGTAAATTGTGCACTGTCAGTACAGAAAGTACTGAGTACCAGTAAATCCAAGAACCCTCCCCCCTCTTTTTAGACATTTTTCCAAATAGAAGTACCCTTTAAAGCAGGATGGAGAACCTTTTTTGGGTCAAGCCACTGACCTACAGAAAAATCAGTTGAGTGCTGCACACAAAAACCCCTCCCTGACATGGCATCCAAACGAGGAGAAAGACACTTCCCGCATTCCTGTTGCACACCAGAGCATAACGGGGCCCAGCCTAGTATATTTTGTGTGCTCCAGCCCCATGGTGAGGCAGAAGGGGGGCTGGAGTTCCAGCACAGGCTCCCCATTGTAGGGGGAGACCCTGAGCCTTGGGGAGGCGGAATCCAGGCAAGCCAAGGGCTACATCCAGCTCCTGAGGTTCCCATCCCCTGCTTTAAAGGATCAAACCCAGCAGTCCTAACGTGGACAGAATTCCTATTGATTGTATGGCATCTAGGAGAAAATATTTTCGGGAGGGCCACTCCGGGTATTCTCTGGGAGGAATTGGTCTGCTATAAATACACTAAAATTACATCTGTTTGAATTGTGTTGCACTGAATGGGCTTCGGTGAATGTGACGTTCCAGTCATAGAAAGACATTTCATAAACGCCTGTGGATGATTTGTAGGCAGTCATAAGGGGCCAAATCCCAATCATGCTGGAGTCGATGGGAGATTTACCATTGATTGCAATGGGATCAGGATTTGTCCCAAAGGAAAGGATTAAACTTGGTTAATAAGCAGAGGCTTCTCCTGCCAGCAGCAGTGGGTAGCATTTTGCCTTTGTGCTGGGTTTTATCTCAGCATTTAACTATTCGTCTTACTTTCAGGAAGAAATAAATGAAAGGCTAAAGATGACATCAGAGGTTAAAAATGCTAACCTGTAAGGCTGGGTTGTTCGGGGAGTTTTCTAAATAAAAGGGCTTATCTGTAGAAACATTTTGTTTGTGGCAAGCTGAGTCACGAATCTACCCCATGCCAGCCTGCTGCGCCATATGGACCCTGCTGATGTGCAGTAAGAGTTCCTTAGTACATGGATTTGCAGGTTGGATCTCTCTGGTCCAGCACATTCAGGACCTGACTGGTCCCGGATAAGGGATTTTGCTGGACCGGGGAAGGTCATTGCTGGGGGCCCCCCCTTGCCTCTTGTCTCTCCCCCCCACCTCCGACCCTCCAGTCATGGCTTCGCTGCCAGCCTTCCAGCCAACTTCCCCCTGCTGCCAGCTGCTCTGCACACACGGCTCCCAGCCCCACCATCTCATGCACAGCCTTACCTCCAGGCTCTCGGCCCCACGGGGCAGCCCCCTTGCTGGGGTTCAGCTGCACTGCAGAGTGACAGCCCAGCTTGGGCTTCAGTCTTGCTGGGCACCCCTGCTGCCTCCTAGTCCTTCTGAGCAGCTATGCCACTTGGCAGTAGTGGGGCTGCTGGGCTCCTTGTTGTGCTGCCGGGTGGCTGGCCCGTTACTAGGCTCCAACAAAAGGAATGCTGGTAAAGTCAATGCAATTCCACTGGTATGAGATTAGAACTAGGCCCTGCATTTGCACTTGTATTAAAGACCACAGGTAGTTATTAAATCAGATCATATGGGCTCATGTTCAACATGTGGTTTAGGAGTGTTGATAGTGACGTTCATAACCATTTATCTCTTTGGGGAAAAAAAAAGAGACATTCCTACTTACTGAGACTGTAGGATTTCATGATACATGGCAAAGCTCATTCCTTTCTGTTGTGCTGGTACATTGCATTCCAACATGAACTTTGACCTGATCTCTTGCTTATCCTTACAGCCTACTTTGCAGATTTAAAACCAGCTAATCAAATTCTAATTTTTTTTTTGTTCTTCTTTTTTGCAAACTTAAGAGAGAGTTGATGTGAAATCGCAAACCAAACTTTGTGAAACCTGTGATATTTTTGATTGTCCTAATATTGGGTGGTAATAAAGACATCAATGGGCAAAATTCTTCTCCATTCCACCCAGCTGATAATGGCTGAACAAAACAATCTAAATTTACTGTAATCTCTTTTTTTGTTGTTGTTGCATATCTCTCGCTAGCTCCCATTATTATAGTACCCAAAGTGCCAGATCCTGCAAACACATATGTGCTTAACCTTAAGCAAGGAGGCTTCAGTACAAGTACTCGGGGCCTGAAAATTAAGATTGCACATAAATGTTTGCAGAATTGAGGCCTGACCACTGACTATTGAGAGCTCCTTGTTGCTCATACGGTTTTGCTACTTACGTGTATGCAGTGGGAACAGAATGTTGGTGGGAAAACCTGCAGTGCAAACCTGTGATGACTCGCACATAGTGAACTCTCCTATTGCAGTGTTATTCATGGGCTTAATAGATTTTTTAGAAGGGATCAATAGATAAAGCTAGTCTGACCTGTATAACACAGACCAGTGGCTTTCATCCAATTACCCTTCCATTGAAACCTACATTGAAGAACACTGTAGAAAAACATGCATTTCCAAAGTATCACAGCAATACTATGTTGTCCTCAGAATATTACCGTTAAAATATTCTTCCTGCAGTGGCCGGTGGTAAGGATGCAGCAGCTGCTTCTGACTTCGCAATGCAGGCCCTATGAACATATGAGATACATGTATGATGTGGTCAAAAGACCCATTTACCCACATAGCACAGTTGTATGTATTTTCTAAACTAGGGTGAACAGTAACTGTAAGCTGCCTATGATCACATAATATGGCTGCATTTACACTGTATTTTTTTTAACTGAATCAAGGGAGTCTTTTTTTCTTTGAGTAGGTCCTATGATGTGAGTGAATAGGTGTTGTTAAACCCTTTTATATTATTAAATGTGTCTAAGATTTGTTGTTTTCCTGATTACGTTGAGTAGAAAGAACCCTTTTCCAGTGGATTCTTATGCTGTATATTTAAATTCAACTTCTGGTGAAGTTTTTCTGCAATTCAACTGTTTCTTTTGCTATTGTTGGTGGATTATAACCACCTCTTACAATGAAGTCAAACTCCTGTTCTAGTGAAGTTGTTTGGTACTTAATTGCAAACACAGCAGCACTGTGGATAAATCTAAGAATTATTTGCAGATTGCTTGCATGCTTTTCTTCTCCTTTTGGTTTCTAAGTTTTGGGGGGTTTTGTTTTTTGTTTCCCTTTAGTTTACAAGAAAAAAAAAAGGTGGAAAGAAGCCCTGTAACTTTTGATAGGGTCATGTTTCATATGTATGCAAAATAAAATTGATCTGGGTATGTCTATTACTTCTTTTGCTCAGTGGGGCTTGGGAACGGTGATGGGAAACGAGGTGGAGAAGTTAGACCTTCTACTGCTTGTGACTACTGCTGTTACCTTAAAAAGGATCCAATAGAAAGTTCAATTGAAATTGCATTTTATTAAAGCAAAATTAAGCAACAGAGCAGAGAAAGAGGGCAATAAACATGATTAGGTAGCGAGAGGCAAGCATTTAAATGGTTTTATTACTAGTGGAGAGCTGGACAGGTGCTCAGTTTTGTAGAAAACAGAGGAACATAGAACTCCCAAATACGCAAAGCTATTTATAGGCAACTGTGTTCCTGCCTCTCGCCTCTTATCGTCTGACTTGGCTTTGTCTATTCTATGCAGCATTGGGCAATGTACACGCAGTTTGCTGACAAAATCCTTCCAACCATTATTGCATTGTCAACAGGGAGCCTGCTGCCAATGAACTGCACCATTTACGCTACCAGTTGCTGAGGCAAAACTTTTGCTTTTCGGGGAGCAAAAGTTTTGTTGCTCAATTGCAAATCTTCTTGCGCAAGAATGCGTAGTGTAGACGTAGCCTCTGTGTGCGGAGTTTTAAAGCACACCTGGAGAAAGCAGTGGCTAAGGCTCTGTTTTTAAGACATTAGCTGATAAATGAGGGTGCTTTGATGCTGGGTGCAGCTGTTCCTCCTGTTTGACAAAAATGAAATGGTGTGAGTAACTCTGGCATTTTTAGGGCTAGATTTACAAGGGGGACTGGGGCCTAGCTCTACTCTGCTTCGGTGCAAGATGTACACTGGGTGTCCAGACTTAGGGATCTTGGTTCATACCCTCAAAGCAAAATGGAGGCGCTGTAGGGTCCTTACAGGTAGGATGAGGCAGCAGGGAGTAGAGGGTTGAGGGTCTAAATTTGGGACCTTTTTCTAAAATGACGGTCACTGACGTGACTGTAGGCTCTAGTGGAATATACAAAAAGTGCTTATGGTTATTGAGCTCAATGGGAATTAGGCATCTCAGTAGATTAGGCAGTTCTAAAACTCCCACCAGGTGTATGTTTGCATCTTTAAGGGAGTTTGGATGCAGGAGTGAGCTCCTGGTGGGGAGTGGTGTTCAGAAGGGGGTTCCACGCTGGGCAGGCTCTGGCAGGGTTCAGGACACAGCTGGGGATTGGTGGTGCATGGAGTGGAATCCGGGTGGCACTTACCTTAGGTGGCTCCCTGAAGGCAGCAACATATCCCCTGGCTCCTAGGTGGAGGTACAGCCAGACAGGTCTCCGTGGTGCATGCTGTTACCTCAGCCTGCAGGTGGTGCTCCTCTTCCACTCTCATTGGCTGCAGTTTCTGTCCAATGGGCACTGCAGAGCCTACCCCAAGCATCCCTCCTTGTCTTAAGAGCCGAGGGCCATGTTACTGCTTGCAGAGCCAGGTAAGGAGTCTACCAACACAACCAGAGTCACTGGGGTCCCTTTTTGACTGAGTGTTCTGGTCCAACAGTGGACAGCTGGCAACCTAAAGGCCCATTTGCGACACAGTGCTGCCCTACAATCCAGCTCTGCTAATGTGCCACGCTGTTAGTGATGTGATAGTGACTACGGGTCCCAAGCACTAATCATGTTTGAAAAGGGCAAGGCTTTTACGGGTATCACCAGTGAATAAAAATATAGCACTTTTTTTTCCCATGCACATGACCTCTGATTTTAACATCACTGCCGTTCCTTTGCCACAAATGGCTCATTAAATGCGGACACACCAAAGTTTTAGTTCAATGGGCTTTCTGGAACCACAAGCCTAGAATTTGTTGGGGGTTTTTAAAAATAAGCACAGCTAGGCACTACTATATGCCTGCTTCTTCCAGTGCATGGAGCTTGCATTAACGAAGGTCCATGGCAAAAGCTAGGCGGGGGAATCAGACTTCACATTTAGTGGTCGGTTTCCTACTCTATCCAGCATGTTGCCTGTTTAAAGCGTGAGATGCTGCCACACCACAGGCTGCTCTTGTCCAGTTTTTGACTAGTGGATTGGAGGTTTGGTGCTCAGCTGTTATGAACCAGAGCTAATGTGTATTTTTTTAAAACTAGCCAGTGACAGTTCCTTATATTGCACATTAAGCTCCAGCCAACCAACGTTACTTCCCAGAACTGACGGGGGCAAGACCAGGGCCATAATCCCCACAATGAACTTGGGAACAGATGTCAGAATGCACCAGACTGATTGCCAGTCTGATATTTACACCAGCTGGAAAGCCAGTGTTTATTTTTAACTGAAGAAAGTCATAGGATCTGATTGTGAGCATGCACAGATCATACATGTTTATGTCAACATATACCCGGAAGGCTCATTGAGTGTTGACAAGATCACCATCACATTGATATGACATGTCAATTAAATTCAGGAAGAGGTGAGGGGTGCTAGCTCTGGCTAGGGTGCTGCTTACCTCAGGTGGCTCCCGGTCTGTGGTGCGTCAGAGCGAAGGCAAATTCCCCTGACCCCGCCTTGTCCAGCCCTGCAATGTTGATGCTACCACAATGGAGCCAGGCAGCTCTGCACTCTACCTGTGCCAGCCCCAAAGCTCCTATTGGCCACAGTTCCTGGCCACTGCTACCACAATGGAGCCAGGCAGCTCCTGGCCAATGGGAGCTGTGGGGACAGATGCATGCAGACTTGAACTTACCCTCATTGTCTGTCCCTGTGCCACGCTGAGGAGCACAGTTCCAGTCCTACCGTAGAGCACCAAGATTCAGGGGCTTCCAGCCCATGGCATGGAGACTTGACCCAGGTTGGATGAAATTAAGCAGCGGGCTAGAGGTTTCCCAGCCCTGCATTAGGCCTATGGTGGACTGTGCATATTGAATAGCAACACTGCATACAAGAGTAGGGAACAAAGTAAGAGAATAAAGCTTGTATCCAAATGAAACTGCAGGTTTGGGAAGGCATTGTTTAAAACAGGCAAAAAGGAACCTTCACTTCAGAGTTTAAAGAGAAGCTAGATAATTTCATGGACGTTAGGTCCATAAAAGGCTATTAGTCAGGGGATAGAAATGGTGTCCCTGGCCTCTGTTTGTCAGAGGCTGGGGGAGGATGGCAAGAGACAAATCACTTGACCATTGTCTTCGGTCCACCCTCCAGGATACTGGGCTAGATGGACCTTTGGTCTGAACCAGTACGGCCGTTCTTATGTTCACTTCTAATAAGCCCCTTTTTGCAGATGAAACTACGTACTTACATCATAAACATTTTAAAACACTGTGAAGTGTGGAAAAAGCAGGCTTAGTTCTCTTCCTAGTCAATCTTAGAATCATAGGACTAGAAGGGACCTCAAGAGGTCATCGAGTCCAGCCCCCCGCCCTCGAGGCAGGACCAAGCTCCAGCTACAATACTTGATGCAATACTTCTTCTCTCTGCCTGGAACAAAACATATTATTATGCAACAGATCCTCCAGAGTACACGCAGCTGCACTGTCTTCAGTAGAGCGACGCTGATTTATGCCTTCTGAAGATCTGGACCTATAAGACAGTTTGTCCTTTTATTGAACATAAGGATGGGGGGGTGTTGCTTAACACAAATCTTCATTTTATTTTTTGTATGTATTTTATTTTTTTGCATAACAAGTTTCAACTGCAGGTCATTGTGATCATTTGTTTTATTAATACTCTTGTATCACCCTCAGCTTGCTAACATTTACAGCTCCTTTCAAACTGGATGGGCTATTAGACCTGTTGAAATTCAAAACAAAGAAAGGAAATGATTTGTTCTCCTTCCATCTCAGAAGTAGTGCACCTTCCTGAATTACCAATAACTAGACACTTCTCTTCTTCCCACCCTGGTCTGCCCACGTTTACTTAAATGGCATGCTTCCTTCAGTGGATATGCTTGTTATGACCAAAAAGTACTAACGAGAAAAGTCTAACTGCTCTCCCAGTTTCACTCTTTGCTATTGCATGTTTGAGAAGTGGTGGTATGATAAGACACTCTCAGGCTATGTGTACACTGCTGCGATCTTGCGCCAGAAGTATGCAAATGAGGCTAAGCATGGACTATTGCTGAGCCTCATTTGCATACCTAATGAGCCGCCATTTTGCGGACGAGGCTCTTGCGCAAGAAGGAGCTGTCTACACTGCCCCTTCTTGCGCAAGAAAAACCCTCTTGCCGTTATTCCTGAAAATAATCAGCATAATGGCAAGAGGGTTTTTCTTGCGCAAGAAGGGGCAGTGTAGACAGCTCCTTCTGGCACAAGAGCCTCTTCCACAAAAATGGCAGCTCATTAGGTATGCAAATGAAGCTCAGTGATATTCCATGCTTAGCCTCATTTGCATACTTCTGGCACAAGATCGCGCCAGTGTAGACATAGCCATGGTGTCTACTGGTAAGTGTTTAAGGAACTAAGAAATACTTTATGTAGGCAGGTAGGCCTATTTTCAGGGCCCAACTGAAGACATCTTAAAGGGGATTCTCTCTCTGAATGTGCTGAGTCCCTATGTCTCACAAATCAGGTCCCTTACAGCTTTTCATGGTAAAAATGGAGCCACCACAAATCATGTCTGAAAATTTAAGTCAGATTCTTTAAACGTAACTTCTCAAAGAAGAGGGTGTGTGGGGGGGTAAATGTTCCTTATGAAAAAAATAGAGAAGTACAGCGCAGAAAGCTTTAGGTTTTGTTTGGAAATTATCAGCTCATTTAAGATATAACCATGTATTAACCTGGTCACTATATTACACTGGACTATCTCATTCATCGGGTCAATTGGAACCTCAGCCATAGTCACATTACAGAAATAGCGAGGCTGCTACTGTTACTCATGCACAAAAGGGACAAGACTGGGATTGAGAGAACAGCTTTTGGCTTACAACAAAAGACTCACGTCTATGGAACACACCAAGAAACATGCAAACACTTGAAAAACCTGAAAAGAACAACTGCAAAAAAAGAGTTCAAAACTTAATCTTTCTTTCCACCACTGAAGGCATCACTTAAATAAAACCTGGGCATGGCTTCTGATTCATGCTTTAATGACTAGTGGTCCTTTGGAGAAAGAGATGTGAAGAGGGATTTCCCTGTTCCTCATTTAGGCTTTAAAGTTGGTTCAGTGTAAGAGGCACTAGACAGTCTCATCACTCTTGACACGGAGTTTCCAATCCAACAGGTCTCTTAGCTGTCCTGTTTCACTTTGTCTTCTCTCCTTTGAGGTCCAAGTTCAAATGCTGGAAACTGGGAAGTCTCTGGTACCAGTATGTCCGATAGGAAATGAATAGCTCCTGCCATGCCTGAAACATACAAATTGATTTCTTATTACAGTAACCCAAGAATTTAAAAACAATCAAGAGTTCAAACCAAATATATACAAACCCATTTTAAAACATCCAGCATTCAGCTCGGGGGGGGGAATCTTATCAGTGTTTCCTCTAATATATTTTCATCAGTGATGTGTAAAATAATTTACACTCTTATGTCTGCAAAGAGTCTGGCATATTTTGGACATGATCTCAACATATTTCAATAATCAAAAAGCCCATTATCCTAATTTAGGTTGTGGCTCCATAGCGGCAGCTCTTGAAATTAAAAAGGCCCCTTCTTTTCTGAATCCTTGTTTATCATCATAACGGTCACAAATTCCATGCCACTGGATCAGCAAGGTATTTATTGTTAGCAAGAAAGAATCGCCCTAATCAAAATCAAGGCCCGGTTGTGCAAAGTGCCATACAAATACATAGTATTAAGGTAAGTAAAATTTGGGTGCCAGGAAAGATAATAGAATCTAAGCATTTTAGGGTGATTCTTGCTACTCTCCATAGACACCTGCCATGTCTTGTAAATGGAGTTCTGCCGATATGGATGCATAATGTGTAGTCATGTTAACATTGCAGATTAACAACGTCTTAAAATCATTTGTAAACAACCACCCTAAAAACAAAACAAAAACAAGATTCTCACTTCAAACCTCTTGCACCTAGATTTTTAAAACTTGAGACTTTTTTTTTTTTAATCTTTCACAGAAAAGAAAGATATGGGAGAGGCTGCTGCAGTGGTTTAACAAGAAACTAACTCCAAGAATGTAAGTGAGAAGTCACTCAAAGTGTGTCAGCTTTTATAATGCATACTCACGGATGTTATCTACAACAGGCAAACGTTGAAATACAGGAAATGGCGAGCAAACTATGCCATTACTGGACACTGAATTTCATACCCTTAGGCTATGTCTGCAGTGCAGGTATTTGTCGGCAGAGATTATGCTAATGAAGCGCTCATTAGCATTTGTCATGCTGTCATTTGCATATTCTCTGCCGATGCTTTTTGCGCAAAAACTAGCAGTGTAGACGGGTCCATTTTGCGCAAAAAAAACCCTTTTGTGCAAGATCCTGTATACCTCCTTTTTTGAGGCATAAGAGATCTTGAACAAATGGGTTTTTTGCACAACACAGCGCTTCATTAGCATGCTCTCTGCTGACAAATACCTGCAGTGTAGACATAGCCTCAGACATGGTCATAATTAAGGAACTATTACAATAATCTGTCTGTTACAGTGTATTAGAAAGCCTAAGACTGCCAAAATCACTGAAGAATTTATACATATAGGCTACATCTACACTGGCATGATTTTCCGGAAATGCTTTTAATGGAAAAGTTTTCCGTTAAAAGCATTTTCGGAAAAGCGCGTCTAGATTGGCAGGATGCTTTTCCGGAAAAGCTCTTTTTCCGGAAAAGCGTCCGTGGCCAATCTAGACACGCTTTTCCGCAAAAAAGCCCCGATCGTCATTTTCGCACTTCAGTATTTGCTTAACTTTAAATAATGGAACTTTAGCATAATGAGTAAAAGTTCCCCTAAATAGAAATGTCTTCTTGGTTCAGAGTCCCAGATGCTCAATAAAAATAAATATATTAAAAGCTCTTCTCTTCATAATAGGCCCACTTATATCCTATAACATGTTCTTGCAGCTCCTACTAACTTTAAAAGAAATTGCTTGTGTGCGTGTGAAAGTGAGCCCAAGCACAACAGAGGGGGCAATCTGACTCATTTGGCTTGAAAAATGTTCATTACAAAAAAAAAAAAGATGGAGAGAAAAGAAAAGTTGGCAAAATCCCTCCACGTTGTTCCATTTTGTGTCGCTGTGGGTCACATTAACTCTTAGACAGCCCTGAGTGGATTGTTTCTGTACCACATTCTCAGTGAGTTTCTAAGCTTCTTCTAACAAATAACTGCAAAGATGACGTTGCTTCCACCAAATATAAAGACAGTCACAACTGCTGCAGAAAGCAGCAGTTAATTCAGAGCATAACAACAGAAATACAAGCACTATAATCATATCCTTTACCTGTACTGCATTTGGACGAACTGCACACAACTGCTGCTCACACAAAAGCCCTTAAACTTAAAGAACTGTTCTTAAACAAAAAAACACCAACCAAAAAAACACCCGCTCTTCTATTAAATCCTCTGCAGTTCCCCGTACTTGTGATAGGTGGTGCATTGGGTTCACTTTCAAAGAATGATAAAGCTATTTTAAGGCCTTTTAAGGGCAAAACTTATTGTTTTAATCATACATAAAATAAGGATTTACAAGAGAACATTAGAAAAATATAATCTTTACTTTTCTACTTGCTCATTTTTTATCTATGTAAGTGACCCGAAGAAAATCTTTAATCAAAGTACTTGTGATAGGTGGTGCATTGGGTTCACTTTCAAAGAATGATAAAGCTATTTTAAGGCCTTTTAAGGGCAAAACTTATTGTTTTAATCATACATAAAATAAGGATTTACAAGAGAACATTAGAAAAATATAATCTTTACTTTTCTACTTGCTCATTTTTTATCTATGTAAGTGACCCGAAGAAAATCTTTAATCAAAATACAGCATTTCTTTTCTTTAGCTGTTTGGATGAGTTTGGCTAATACTGGTGATCAAGAAAGAGGGGCTAACAGAACTAAATCTGACCCTAACCAGGCCTAACAGATGAGTTTTCTTACACAAAAAGACACAGAGAAAAATTACTAATCTGCAATACTGTTACAATTCCAGTCTTCTGCTTGTTTCAGTAATTACAATTAACACAATAGCTCTGTGATGCACAGCTGCTATCCAATTTCCCAGACTCCAACTTGCTTTGACTCAAGAGGGTTCCAAACACAGGAGAGGTTAATGAATAAACCAGTTTCACATCCAATACCCAGTGGCACCAGTTTTATATTGGAATTATGTAGACTGCAGCTTTTAAAAAGGTTTTCCTCAATAAAGGAAAACTCACCGACGTTCCTAACACTCAGTCACAGGTTTTAACACAAGATTGTCCTTCTTCCTAATACAACACAGCCTGCAGCAACAATACTTTACCTTCAAATAGAGAGTAGGGTCGGTCAGGAATACGACATCCATGTGCACCATACTCTAAACACCACTCAGCAAACTGTGCAACAGGCAGAAAAAGGAAAACAGAGTGAATTAAAGTGTGTATGTATACAGATGCAAGCTTGAACAGACTTCTTTTAATGTATAGAAAATGCAATGAGGCTCAATCAGAGAAACAAACTGCAATCAGTATCGAAGATTAAATTGTCCTACCCCAACTAGGATAAGACTTCAATTACTTTTCAGGAACCTAGAAATGCAGATTAACTGAAATCTACTACATGGTACTATAGTTCAATTAGCAGGGTGGAATTTATTTACTCTTCTTCTTGAACATCTTGGGCGGGGGAGGGGGATAAAAAATGCTGCAACAATATATTCTTATGTCAATTTCAAGGGCAAGCAAAGGATGCACCACAATGGCAACAATTTCTCCCTCTCCTTGCGGTCACAAGTAATGCCCATTAATCACATTTCTGTTTCCTTACATTGCTCACCACTTCAATTTAGAATATTCAATATACAAGTCCCATATTTCATTCACTCTGACCATTATAGAAAAATCACTGTAAATACAGTTGGATCATTAAGACTATCAATCTCGTTTTCAACAAGTTTCTATCTTCTACCTCAACTGGACAGAAAGCACTCCTGAAAATAGTGTCCTTTCCCCAATATGCTTAAGTTAGTATACTTTGTACAGGGAATGCTGCAAGTACTTGGCTAACATTAGTTATTTGCAAAAGATTTTTAACAGCAACAACAGTTTCAAAGCTCTTTTATGGGCCTCTCAGAAGAAATGTATGTGGCCCCACCTATTCCCCTGTTCTTTCCTTGAGCTTATTAAAATCTTTGTTTTTCTAAAATGTTTCAGCTTGGAGTCATCCTCTATTACTGGAACACTTCTGCAAAGCATCTATCTATTTAAACAAATTTCCTCTGTAATTTGAACAGGCTTACAGAGAATAGCTTCTCCTTCTCAGAAGAGGTCACCATTGCACCATTTGTACTAGATTCTAGCTATAGGATTTTGTTGTTGTCGTCATTTGGTTCTACTGCACCCACGACAAACAGCCACAAGACTAGACCAAGAATCAATTCAATCAGAAGCAAAAAGAAAGTCTCCCCTCCTCCCTCGCACACATTCCTGAAAAATAACTCTGTCAGTGAGAGGAAGGGGATGCTTTTAGAAGAGACAAAGTGTTAATACTCAGCTCAAATAATTTTTAGGCCCAATTCTGCCGCCCTCAGTTAAACAGGTGTGACTCCCACCAAAGTCTACAAATCTCCCTGTAATGGAAAGCAGAGCTGGACTTCAGTCTGCAAAGTGTTTCTAACCTTTTAATGAATTTCATGGCATCCATAAATGGCAAAGTATACTTCATATTCTGGGAATTGAAGCAGAGGTTAAGTGAGTTGCTCAAAGCTTCTGAAGGGAATTGGTATCAGAACTGGATTATAATTCAAAAGTTCCTAGCTCCAAGTCAGAGGTATAAGGGAACGGAGAAGAAAACCAGGCAGGCTCGTTCATCAAGAAAGCAGTTTAGGCTGCCATCTAGTTTCCATTCATATAGACACGCAGTTCTAAAGAAATCCTTTCTGATTTCAAAAATTGCATTTGTGCTAAAAATGCTTTTACGCTCACTTTCTGTTTCCTGCTGCTAATTAGGTGACTGAAGAGGCAGGGACAGACTCTACCTCTGCTAACTACTTAGTCTTTCTATTTATATGGGTACAGTTTTATTCTGCAGGAAACACAGCATCTACCTCTGCTAACCACTTAGTCTTTCCATTTATATGGGTACAGTTTTATTCTGCAGGAAAAAAAAATCAACCATCCCGGATACACAAAACCCAGAAGCTCAAAGGCATCCCCTGGAAGGCAAGTTTATTCAACTAATGGGAAAATCTATTGCACGCCCAACAATAATACATTAAATAACTGTATTATTTGAAAAGCCAGAAAACTGAAGCATTCAGGCAAGGGATCTCTCTATGACTTGATAAGTCTCAACCCCTGCTGTCCTCCAAGTCCCTCTTATCAGTGTACGAAATAGCCTAAAAGAAGCTTTGCTGTTATCAAGGATTCTTGGGTGGTTTTTCTATCTTCAGCCTCATGCTTTCAGTGTGATCTGATACTATAGTGATAGGACTCATCCAATTATCTAGATAGGTAGGTGTAGGTACCTATACTGCACATCTTGCTGCATAAAGGAAAAAACTTTAAACAGTGCCGTAGCACTTCTGAAAGTCTCTCCCTTAAAGATTTAAGACTGCATCAGAACAGTGAAAACTCCAGACCCCAAAGTGTCTGTAATATATTACCATTCATTACAATCCTGTTCCCCCACAAAGGGCATATGACAAAACTTAACCTGATTAAAAGAGGAGGCTGGTCCAGGATAAGGGAACTAGCCTGTGAGTGGGAGACATGGGTCTGACATCTTGTATGGCCTTGGATAAGCCAGTCTCCCTGTGCTTCAGTTCCCCATCTGTAATAGCACATGGATCCATCTGTAATGGATTAATAGCACCTCCCTAACTCACAGGTGCTGTGAGGATAAAGATAAATTAGAATTCAACACGGTACTATGGATGTTAAAATGTGTTTATTTAGGTAAATGTGTAACTGCTGAAGAATACAGGGGTTACACCGGGGTGGGCAATAATTTTTGGTGGGGGGCCACTCCAAGGTTTTGGAAAGTGGTCAAAGACCACACTTTTCTGGGGATTGGGTGCGGGGTCTAGGATGGAGGTTGGGCACAGAAGGGTGCATAGGGTAGAGGACTGGGGGGGCAGGAGATAGTGTGAGGTCTGAGTTTGGCAAAGGAGGGGGTTGTGACCCGGGTCAGGGGATAGGGGTGTAGGGTCCGGAAAGGGGCATGGGTGCAGGAGAGGATCCTGGCCTGGGAAAAGGGCACGGGGAGGAGGTGCAAAGTCTGGGAGGGAGCTGTGACCGGGAAAAAGGGGGTGCAGACTGCAGGTGGTGACTTGGGGCAGGGGAATGGGGTGCAAGGTCTGGGAGAGTGTTTGGGTGCAGGAGAGGATTTGGGCCTGGCGGAGGGCTGTAGAAGGGGGTACAGGACCTGGGAGGGAGTTGTGACCAGCGGCAGGGGGTGCAGAGGGTTTGGATGGTGACCTGGGGAAGGGAGTTAGGGTGCAGGAGGTGCTGGGGTGCCAGAGGCAGGCTCTGGCTGGGAGGCACTTACCTAAGCCTGCAGCACCCCCAAGGCAGGCTGGGCTCTCTGCCTGCTGCAGCCCCAGATCACTTGAAACTGCAGGCTGCTCTCTCCATGTAGGAGAGGGAAAAGGCTTGCTGCTGCCCCCATCTCCCAGGCCAATCTCTCAGCTCCTATTGGTTGGTTGTTTCCAGCCAACAGGAGCGGAGAGACTGGCTGAGGTCAGTTCCTATTGGCCAGCTGTTTCTGGCCACTAGGCACTGAGGAATGGGCTGGGGGCAGGAGATTTCACGAAGCTCCTGCCTGCGAGCAGAGGGGCAGGGAATGAACTTTAAACGGTGCAGCTGTGTGCCGGGGGGCCCCAGCAGGGTGGTCCGCGAGCCAGATCCGGTGGCTTGGCGGGCCAGATCCAGCCCCCTGGCTGTATTTTACCCAGCCCCAGGTTACACGTTTATGGGCTCCGGGTGCATATTTCTGTGTGTGTGCGGGTGGGGGCAGGCAGCTCTTTCGTATGGTTCTATTTTTAGAGTAAGTATCTTTTCAGGCCACTCCTATTTCTGATTTAAAATACTACAGGTTGGACCTCTCTGTCTGGAACCCTTGGGACCTGACCTGTCCCAAATGAGGGATTTTACTGGACTGGGGAGGTCACTTCTGGCTCCCCTGGCAGTGGCCCCCTCACCCAGCTCCACTTCTGGCCCAGCCTCCTGGCCAACTCCCTCCCTGCCAGCCCCACCATACTTCTGGACGCCCTGCCACCAGCCCCGCTTGACTCCCACGACAGGGCTACCAGCCTGCCTGCAGCCAGCCTGGCTGGGAACCCAACACCAACAGGGCTCCTGCCTCCAGCCCTCCACCACGACACTGTGGTCCAGGAACATTTGTGGTCACTGATTTTGTCAGACCAGACACTCCCAGTTTAGAGAGGTTCAACCTGTACCTACATTTTGAGAATTTAAAAAAAGTTACAGAAATATTATTCCTTTTTATTCTCTTAGGGTATATGACTTTTGCGATCACACAGAAATTCATACAAGACTGTAGCCAGCAGAGAAGAAGCGATACAGTAAATCCCACCTTGCAAGCCCGGTAGAGGTACTTTTTGTCCTCAGTTATGTGATAGAGAGATAAGAAGGAGTAGCCATTGCCAGCAGTCCCGTGGCAGATTCCATACCCTTTCCTCAGCAAACCTCTCTGCCAGATGACATCACTGCAGTCCATGGCATCCTTCAAATATTTATCCTCTTTAAAGGTCTATGGAATAAGAAAACACTCACATTCAACCAACCTACTCACCAAGAGAGAAAGGGGTAAAGGGCAAGTTTCATCCACTCTCTAGCTATTTATAATCCACCCATCACAGCGATAAATTTCCCCCTCTCAGCAAACTGCTTTCCCTTCTGTGCATGAGAAAAAGGAAATTAAGACAACTTTATGAATATGAAAACATGACCAAAAGAAAACACAAGATTGGTATCTTCAATTCTATATTCTCTCCAAGGCATTTCTCTCTCTTCCCATGTCCAAGTTGTGACATTGGCGCCAATACTCTTGCTCCTCATGAGGAGTAAGAGAAGCTGACAGGAGCATTTGCTCTCGTCAACCTTCTGCTGTATGGACAGCACAGAAATGCAATTTAAGGTATGTCAGCTCCAGACATGTAATTAACGTAGCTGGAGTTGCATATCTTAATTCAACCTTCTGTTGTAGTGCAGACCAAGCCTCGGAGATTTATAAAGCCTTGATATGACAGCGGTTGTCATTAAACAAGAACAATCAATATAAGGAGTTTTTTATAAATAATTTCGTAAGCTTTGTAAAATAAGGGGCAGAGAAAACGTCTCATTATCTGAACAGCTTCTCTTTCAACACATGAGGACAATCCAGTTTTGTGACTTAATTTGAAGGCTGGATGATTGGTTCTAGTTTCGAAGGAGTTACTCACCGTTACCTAAATCCCTCATATGGCAAAGCAAGGAGGATGATCTATGGACTATCGCTTCAATTACTTTTTTATATTGCTATTTAAGAAAGGAGACTGAAAAGTAAAAAGAAGCTGATCGTGTGACATGAACCTCTTAAAAAGGCAGGACCAAAGAAGAGCCTGCCAATGAAAAATGTTCCTGACTCTCTCAACTCCTCAACATTTTGTGCTGAGAAAGCATCACTTTGGAAAGAGAAAAATGAGTTTCTGCAATGACCAGTCACCTTTCCTTTCAAACTCCACAGCACATGCTCCTATGGTTGCTGTTGCATTCAGCAACACTGTAGGAGGTTTACAGTTCAAATTTCAGGAAGCAGTGCACATTAATTATTCTGATAGCTATGAATGCTTTTCATCAGTAGACTCAGAGACCAACCAGAGAACCTGCCAAGAAGGCTTGTCAAGAACAGGAATCAATTTGCATAAATTTAATTAAACTGCTCGCTTACTAATGTTCTGTGACTCAGAGCTCCAAAATCTGAAAACAACAGCAGAACCAGTGAGGATACATTGGAACAAAGACGAGGCGAGTGCTAAATTACAGTGATAGGATACAGGCACCTGGGATATTTGTTCTGACATCAGCAGTAAGTACTAGATCTTAATAATACTACAATCATTAAAGTAAAAGGTGGTTGAGAGTGATTTCTAAAATCTAAGGCACCTTTACCTTTTGGAATAAAAACTCAAAAATCATAAGTCAATATTTTAAAACTAGGAGCCTAAAGTTGGGTTCCAAAATAAATGGCCCAATTTCCAGGAGGGCTGAGCCCTCAGCAGCTACCATTAACTTCCAGTCTCTGTTTTTCTTTACCCTTTCTATAATATAGTGACTTAGTAAGTGGCTTGATCTGCAGATTTTAAGAGCCTAACCATACAGACCAAAATTTAAAAACTAGAAGCCTAAAGATCAGAAATCACCTCTGTAGACGTACGAATGCATGAGGATGTGTGAGCAAGGGTAGAAGAGAATGACTTACCTTATAAGCTTGCATAAGCATGTGGATGACTCCCGGTGCACCATGGCACCAATGGACTAGTCTATCAGTTTCATTGCTCAATGATGATGGATAGTTCCCAGATCTGAATTTTTTATGACGGACATAGTCAATGCTTGGCTTCACCATCTCTGTCAGGGTCTCCTGATCCACATTTGAAACTGGCTAAGAACAAAACAATCACTCACTAAAACACAATTCTTTATTTTGTTTTGCATACACAAACATGCATAGGTACTGACTTTGACGTGCATATTTCAAAGCTCTTTATGAGCATTTCAGTCATTTACCCTCACAATATCCTTATGAGAAGGTGACTTACATCAAGAGGATCCAGTCTGACTGTGACAGAACTAGAATAGAAAACTCCTAGACCTTTATCAATGCTTTACACTAAAAGAGAGCACTTAAGGAGGAAAGTGGTTTGGTTATCTATAGCATACTCTCAGATAAAAGCAACCTAAACCCTATGTGGTTTTAAAACAATGGCCTAACTTTATGCAATATAAACCTGGCATGATTCTCCCAGCTGAGGTGTCCCTACTGCTGTGGCCAATGACCCATCTTTCTAAATGTTAATGAAGGTGAAGTATTTTCAGCATAAAGCTTCTTAAACCCATGGACAGCTGAAGAAAGTAAATTAAACTGAGTGACAGGATCTAACACAGGCAGCCCAACAGTTGGTTGGGAAAAATCACATCCAGAAAACAGACATTAAGGACCAGATTTACCATATTTATTTAGGTGCCTAATGATGCAGAGAAGTGCTTTTGAAAATCCTAGTAGGTGCATTTGTGAATCTAAAGGCACCTAAATAGCTTTGAAAAATCTGACCTGAGGAATTCTATTCTTCTCCTACATACTCCCCAGGACTCCACATTAAATTTAATAGGATTTACATTCTTGCCAGAGAGGAAAACATACACACTGAGTTACATGCCTACTGCTAGGTGAAGTCCGGAAAGTAGTTAAGTATAAAGGTACTGGTAAGTACATTGTGGGGTTTCCAGGTGTTCCTCATTAATATTCATCAAAATAAGGCTTTATTGTTTTCCAAGCCCACATGATCTCTGAAATTCCTGAAAGCCTCCTGGGTAGATGGGACCCAATAACTCAGCCAGTGACAGGAACCTCCTAATTCTTTTTAAATTATTGCTCAGTGTGCTCAATTTTATTACAGTGCTTCTGTAGACCTGCATTTCATAGGGCAACACCCTCCTGCAATTCACACACCTAGAGCCAAAGGAGAAGACTTTAAACATCTACAGCTTTCAAATACGTTCACTTTGAAACTGCAATATCTATTCACCTTGTTTTTCTTCTTACAGCCAACAAGGAATGCTTACTTTGCTGGCCTACAGTCCACTACTATGCTATCAGTAGGCATTATTGTTTTCCTGTTAATCGCAGGTACTCACATAAATCCATCAGCTCTCCATAAAAGCACAAAAATGTGGAGCTGGAAGGGACCTCAAGAGGTCATCTAGTTCAGTCCAGATAAGTTTTCACCCTTGGCCCAATCAACACACAGCTGTGGCCTATGTGATAACCTCAGGGCTATCACTAGGGCCTGGAGGGAAGGTCCCCTGCCCTAAGCACAGATCCAGCAAGGGAGTACCAATTCGGACCCAGTGGTGTGTCAGACCCCTCCCAGCAGGATTGGACCCAGCAGCATCAGCAGGAGGCCATGATGCTCAGTGCTCCAATCCCAGGATTGAACATCCAGTGATCCGTCTGAAGCAGGCTCCCTAGAACTAGGACTACAGTCGCAGGTGGGCAAGGCAGCAGAGGTGGGAGACCAGTGTACTGGCAGAACCCCAAAGGGGCTCTGCATAAGCTTATCCGGTAATCAATTATTCACTTTCCCCCTCCCCTTGCTGCCTCTCTGAGAGGCAGCGGGGTGAGGAGGGGAGAACAGGAGCTGGTGTTGGGGAAAGCTGGCTTAAAATCCGATTCCCCCCAGCACTGGCTCCATGGTGCTGCCGGCCGCCCCCCACTCCCTCTATCAGAGGCAGCAGGGGAGGGATAGGGAGGCTGCTGCAAAACAGCCTCTGCCTGCGGCCAGCCTTGTCCACCATACACAGAGGCTGTTCCGGCAGCAACCCCAGTTTGCTGTGGACAAGGTTGGACACTGCCAATAGGGGCTGATGGACTCAGCACCAGCTAGGACCAAGCAGTTCTGGCTTGCACTGGTCCAGGACACTGCGTCTCTGCATTTTAAATGTAGTAAGAGCCCAACAGCTCTTACTACATTTAAAATGCAGAACCGCAGCACAGGTGGCTCCGGGAGCTGGCACGGCCTGGGACTGCTCAGTCCCGGCTCAAGCTGGCTCCTGGAGCTACCCTGGCTGTGGCTCTCCACAGTGGTCCTTATTGACTCATCGTGTAATCGATACAAATTCTATTGACTACACGATTAGTCAGATAACTGCAATTTAACACCCCTTATAGTAACACCACTTCATCAAGGGATACCTGCTATTCCAACTGACACACTTTTCGGTTGGGACAGCAGTGTTTATCATGGCAGCTTGGCTGGCAAAGCTCTGTCAACTAGAGGGCATTGTCTTTCCCCACCCCTGAACGACGTAACTATGCCGACAGAACTTTGTAATACAGACCTGGCCTTAAATCATACGCTTTCTGAGATGGGCCATCTTTTTTGTTCTGTATTTGGACAGAACCAAGCAAAATAGGTCAATATAAATAATAGAGTAATTATTAAAGACACACACTTACTAATGAACTAAAAACTGTGAAATGGAGGGAAAGATG